CGACCGACGACAGGAAGAGGTAAGCCGTTGATGATATACAACACAGGTGAGAACAGGTTCAGAATCGGAGGAGAACAAACAAGCCGTGTTTCTTCGAGTCATCTGGAACAACGGCAGGGGATTGGCCCGAGTTGATGGGCCGGGCTGGGATGGGACGGGATGGACGGGGGAACTGAGTGTGAGATGGGATGAGTTGGGGACCGGCTTGCCCATTCATTCATTTGAACGATCATGCGTGCGCCCATCCATACCACCGCGCGCCGCTCATCCTTCCGCCATTCGTGGAAGCGTGGAAACATGGAAGCCTGGTAGCGGAAGGTTTGGCGATGGTCACCCAGTCGGAGGGAACACAAACTCTAAGCGAGTGATCAGCTCGCTCAGTCCAGGGATGCAGGTCCAGCACATGGCTCCGACAGGGTCAGCATGACCCCCCAAGGTCACTCTGGCATTCACGTGTATGTGTGTGTGTGTGTATGTGCGCGCGCAGTGCCAGACAAATGAGAAGGAACGGATGGATGAACATGGTGGTTCTTCTGGCGCAGTGCTGGCTTCGGATGACAGGCGTTCCGGGCTGCGACGTGAGCGATGACCGCCCACCGCCGTCCCGGATGGCGGACGAGCCGGCAACAGATGTGGGTGCTGGCGTGGTTTATGCATACTAGCCGTGATGAGCGAACCGAACCAGATGCTTAGGGCGGCACGACGCCTACCTGCTTGGGGTATCGCGACTGAGACCACGGACTTGATCAACAGCGTTCGCGCAGCCAATATTGAGATTCATTGGAGGCTGATTGATTGGAGTCGAGAAGCATTCCACGCCATCCTGATGACGATCAACGGATGGATTCGGGATGATGCTGTTGTATTGCTTTGCTGTGTCTCGGTCTGGTGGAGTCGGTGTTTTGCGTGTCCCGCGTTAATGCATTTATTGATATCTACCTATCAGGTATCCTTGTATATAGTGTATCGGGTTCCACGGTACATGGGCCCGCATGGCCGAATCGCCAAGGTCATGACAGCCTCACCGAGCTGTAATTTCCTGGAGATGATGGCTCCCATCAACAGGTGTTCCAGCACATCAGCAGGTGTTCCGGCTGGGATCAAGCCCTGATTCCCTTTTTCGTTTTTTTTTTGTTTCGCATCGCATCAACGACCAAAGGCCTTGTCTTGCGCTGCCCTGCCACCGACAGAAACTACGCACACTGCTACCTTCAAGTCTGTGCGCTATTGCCCCGGATCCGCCCTTTCCGACTGGCTTCATCTGTTCTCGAGCTCGAGAATTACCAATCTGTCCACCCCAGATCAGGCTCGCTTCAGGGGCGGTGAGCGTACTCCGCTCGACACTCGGCCACCTGTTCTCCGGTCTCACACAGAGTACAGGGAAACAAGTTCATCTGCTCTTTTCGCCGTGCAGGTCGTCTATTCGTGGCCCTCCATTGACAGCCCGATTTCGACACATCCCCCCCCCCCCTCTAAGCTCTTGCTGGCGTGCCCAATCTAGAAAGGCTCCGACCTTCCTCGCCCCAACATCCCAAGACAGGCCGGCCATCCCACACGCAGCATGGCCGAGAAACAGCCGCAGGCCCCGGGCGTGCTCAAGACGCCCCTGTTGGCGCCAGCCCCGGGAGTTGTCCCTCCCGCGCGCCAGCCCCTGACGGCCGAGCAGCAGACCAAATACGACGCCCTGCTGGCCGAGGCCCGCGCCTGGACGGATATCACTCCGGCCCCGCCCTCCACCGAACGCCCGGCCGGTCCACTGACCGACGCCGAGCGGCAGTGGCTCACGCGCGAGTGTCTCCTTCGCTACCTGCGCGCGACCAAGTGGAACCAGCTCGAGGCCGCGCGCCGCCTGCGCGACACGCTCGCCTGGCGCCGCGGCTACGGCGTCGGCCCCGATGAAGTCCTGACGCCGGACCACATCTCGCCCGAGTCCGAAACGGGCAAGCAGATCCTGCTGGGCTTTGACAAGGATGCGAGGCCGTGCCAGTACCTCAACCCGGGCCGGCAGAACACCGAGCCCTCGCCGCGCCAGGTCCAGCATCTCGTCTTCATGGTCGAGCGCGTCATCGAGCTCATGCCCGCCGGCCAGGAGACGCTCGCCCTGCTCATCAACTTCAAGACGAGCAAGAGCCGTTCCAACACGGCGCCTGGCATTGGTCAGGGCCGCGAGGTGCTCAACATTCTGCAGACCCACTACCCCGAGCGTCTCGGGCAAGGCTCTCATTATCAATGGTATTTTCTCTCTCTCTCTCTCTCTCTCTCTCTCTCTCTCAATCACAGGCTCTCTCTCTCTCTG